TACGAAAGAACAGTCTATGATTTTAGAAAATTTACAATTAGACGCTCTAAGAACGATTTGTGGAGCCGTGAGTAGGAACTAGTCACAAAAAAATCTACAAGAAGACCAATCTCATACCATTAGTTAAGCGTAGAGAAATGAAGAAACTTACTTTATTCTACAAAATGAATAATAAATAACCTTACTCCAAACTACTTATCTGATTTAGAACATGTTTCGGTTTTAAGTTCTTACAATCTGAGAAATACTGATAGTATTCGCACAATTCGTTGCCATACCATACAGAGTCGTATGCACGCTCCTTTTTACCAGACACCATACGTTTATGTAACAATTTACCAACCGAAATAATAAACTTACAATCAGCAGTAAATTCGTTCAAAACAAGATTACAGACCAAACAAGGAAATATTCTGTTTAATAAAAACTTTGGATCTAGATTTTGGCAAATAATCCATGCTCGCCTCAGGTTGGGTTGTAGTGACTAGAAACACATAGACATATTTGTTTTGATAGACATAAACTGACGGGCAAAAGTTAGTATAACGTTTTCAATTTGGTTTGGGGAAATTGAGCATGTCTAAATTCCAATGAAACATCCAAAGCAAACATTGTCAAAGTCACGAGAATATTGCAGAATGGTAGTGATGTCAGTAGATGTAGTCACGTGACCCCTAGCACGAGAAAAAGGTATAACATGTAATCTTTGAAAATCACGAACATGCACGTGCACCAGTCGGGTAGAAATGGGATGGATACACGCTGGCATATCACAGTAACTGAAAGCACATGCAAAAATGCCGAAGCTGACACAAATTCAGCGAGAGCGAGACATTGGAATGCGCGATATGGGAGCTACCCAAGCTCATCTTGCCAGAACGTTCGGCTGTACCCCAGCAACAATCTCCAGGCTGTTCACACGTTACCGGAATACTGGTAGCACTCAAGACAGGCCGAGAAGTGGACGGCCACGGGTCACTTCACCCATAGAAGACCGCTACATCCGGACTATCCATCTCGGAACAGGTTCGTGACGGCAACGTCGACGGCGGCTACGGCACTCGGGCATCGTATCAGTCGTCGCACAGTGACCCGAAGATTGAGATTAGCTGGTATAAGGGCTTACCGGCCTTTCCGCGGAATGGTCCTGACCCTCAGACATCGCCAAAACAGACAGCGGTGGGCAAGGCAAGTTTACAGGTGGCAAGTCCGAGATTGGCGACGTGTTCTCTTTTCCGATGAAAGCCGTTTCACCCTTTACAAGTGTGATGGCAAAGAACGGGTATATCGTCGACGAGGGGAACGTTTATCAAGGCCATGCATCAGAGAAGTTCATCCATTCGGCGGGGGTGGAGTCATGGTTTGGGGCGGTATCTGTGGAGACCAGAAGACCCGTCTGGTTGTAGTGCAGGGCAATCTCAATGCACGGGGGTACATCGGACAGATCCTACAGCCAGTTGTGGTACCCTTCCTACAGAATCAACCCCGGGGTGTACTCCTACAACATGACAACGCGAGACCTCACACTGCCAGAGACTCGCTACTTTCTGCAACAGAACAATGTTGACGTCCTGCCCTGGCCAGCGTGCTCACCGGATATGAACCCGATCGAGCACCTCTGGGATCATCTGGACAGGAAGATCAGAGGTCGGCAACAAGTTCCACAGAACAGGCAACAGCTAGAGCAAGCACTCAGAGAGGAATGGAACCGCATTCCCAATGACGTCATTCGACGTTTGACGACGTCAATGAGGAGACGTCTGAGGGCATGCATTGACGCAGCAGGGGGTCACACACGATACTGATGTGCACAAGATCCTGTATTGAAGGAATGCCCCTGCTACTGACTCATAAACTCAGATTGTGATAATCGATTTATGCAAAATTCCACCCCTTGCGTGTTTACTTGACAGCGGCTCACAAACTCCTTGAATGAAATTGTTGATTTTTTGTGATTTACAGCTCAAGTTTTTTTTTATTATGATGCATTAAATATTTTTGGGAAATTTCGTTGTATGTCTTTGTTACAGGACGTTCAAAACGTCATATACTAACTCACCGTCAGTTTATTTCAATAATCCGAATTGTGCATGTGGCTACCCATGCAGGAAGATTCTCTCCATTACTTCTTTTCTTGCCCTTGTTATGACTTAATAAGATCAGATAAATATTTCTAGACTACTGGTTTTGACTTAAATCAAATTCTTCAAGGTGATCAAACTTCAAGCAACAAAATTAATCAGCTTATTCTTGACTCTGTTCATGAATACATACTACTTCAAACAGATTCAAATTATTGGTCCCTTTTGGACCCGATACTTTCTTTAAGCACAAGCTATTCTATTTCTTGATATATAATAAACATTATTGAATGGTATACACAAGGAGTCTGTTTTCCTTCCTTCTTTGGATCTACTAACAACTAGGTGACAGTAACACAGCAGGGGAGACAACTGAACCAAGTCTGTTTTTGAGACATCTCAAAGTCTCTGTAAGAGTAAACTAATTAACAAAATTAATATTCTCATCCAGACTAAATTGGTCAACAGCCTGTAAACATTTATCTGTTCAAGCATCCAAGGCTATGCAATCTGTATATCAGTTGTTCAAAAGAAGTCTTTTATTTCTTTCAAAACTGCCTGTACCATCTTTGATTGTAAGATTTTACCGATTCTTTTATATGGGTCCGAAATCTGGGGAACTAAATATTTTCATTGTATAGAAAAGGTTAATGCATCATATTTTAAATGCTTCCTAAATTTGGGAAATTATGCTTCAAATAAGGCTGTCCTAGGGGAAACTGGTCGTTGCAATATATTTGTACTCACCAGATTACGAGTAATAAAATTTTGGCTGAAAGTATTAAAAATGGATTCTTATAGGTACCAAAGGCAAAGTTATATTTTCCTAAAGCTACAAGATGATATTGGCAAGCTTAATTGGGCATCAGAGGTTAGACAGTTACTTTTTTCGACTGGATTTTCTCATGTGTGGATTTCACAAATGGTTGGAAATGAATGTAATTTTTTATATGTTTTTAAGCAACGTCTTCAGGACATTTTCTTCCAAGAATGGTCTATGTCTATAAATAATTCAAGTTTCTTAGAACCGGAGTTTTATATTATGAACCTACAAGACAAATCGTTAATACGGGCGTTGTGTAAATTTAGAATTGGCTTTCATGATTTTAGAATTCACTATTTAAAGAAAGCTCTTTCAGAGTAAATGAATCCATCTGTAAAAATTGTGATACAGGTAATATTGAAAGTGAATTTCATGTATTATTTGTGTGTACCAAGTATTTAGATTTAAGAAGTAAGTATTTATCATTTGTACCAACACCTGTAAGAGATGAACAAATATTGTCCAGTCTGTTAAATTCTAAAAATATTGATATTATCAAATCTATTGCTATTTATTTAAAACATGTCTTCAGTGCAAGAAATGTCACCACAACCACCACGTGCATATAATTGTAGCAAGTGTATTTGTACTATAGGCCTTTAGGCCCGAAATACTGAATAAAAATGAATCTGAATCTGGATCTGAACTAATTAACAAATTAAGATATTCAGGGGTCGTTTGCTCTACCGTGTGGTGTTTTCTAGTCGAATGTTTAAGATCTCTGTGAAATAAATGACGAAGTCTATAGTCGTGTGCAGCTATAGCTACAAACCTGATGTCTTTAGTGAGTGAGGCGGATTTTACGCCGCATTTAGCAATATTCCAGCTGTATCACGGTAGGGGACGCCAGAAATGGGTTTCACCAATGTGGGGATGAGCAAACGCTTTAACCACAAGCTACCCTACCGTCTCCATCTCGTCTTTAGTTTAGATGTTTGTATTCTGAGACAGAAAGGGCAGTTGTCATCCTCGTCTATTGGTCATTTTCAATCCAGGTAATAGGCGTAATGTTTCGGTAATAAACCGGCAATGAATCGTGATCAAGGTGTCTACCTGCCAAGCGCGTGGGGCCTCTTGATTGAAGTTTGATGAACTTTTGATAAATGTGAAGCCTGTTATATACCTATTCATTTTGAAAAGCCTACTATCAAGTAATCATTGTGCAATTAGCAAACATTGTGTGTTAACAATTCAAGTTTCAACTCTAATATCTAGCATGAATTAATCACCATTATGTTATTAAAGCGGCCTTCACAGGGTGTGACGGCCGCTTTACAGTTGAAGTTTTCAACTTCATTTATACTGTATTCTTCCTTGTGGACTGTGTCATAGTATCGACGTCATACTGTCAACTGTCACTTCACCTGATGAAGGGAACTGTAATGATCCCGAACGTTGTGTGGGAAAGAATAAAGAAGCCAACTCCATAAAATAACTTGGTCATCTATACCAGCTTCTAAATGCCGCTAAAACTCATTGATTATTGTATAACCAACAATGCATCCGACCATGGGTACTTTTAACCTTGGAAGAAATACCATGACGTCACAGAAATATAAGGGATTAAATCGATCATATTGTTAAAGTGCAAATATTTCATAATATTTCACATATGAAATATAATAACTGAGATAATTGAAATTTATAAAAATTCACAAATGTATCGATGATGTGATTCTCCTTACACAAATGAGAGTAACATACAGCAGACAATATATGACTGTTACACTACAGTTACCGGCTGCATGTCACTTCCACATTGACGTCGACAGTCAATCTGAAATGCTTCTGGCTAAATGAAACGGTACACTTTGTGTTTGTATTACCATAATCCGGGTATAGGAAGACATAAGTTAGGCAATTTATGAGAATATTGTATCAATCAGGAACAACCCATGAAATATCAAAGGGACAATAATTTACAGTTGCTATGCGTTCCTCTGATATATAAGCAGGTGCAGTTTCATACATCGAAATTTTAAGGGGCGGGGTGTAACTTTAAAGCGTTCGTTCATCCCTTCATCTATTGTCCTATGGAAGAGAGTTGGACAATTAGTATTTAGCGGCTCCCTTGAGGGCATCTATAGGTATTACCTCCCTTGGACTATGCACGAGAACAACTTCACGAACTCTGATGTTTTGCACATAGAAGTCGGTGCATCGCTGAACGTTTGTGTATGGCATCCATTGATGTATTATATATCTTATTGACAAGGACGAATGCCTTTATACCAAATGTAGAAACAAAACGTTACAAACTGTTTTCCAGATATAATTCAACGTTTCCAATACGATCAACAAGTGGCAAGTTGAGATCGATGTTTTTAAATGCTACTTATTTTAATAAAGAAATCAAAGTTTATTAAATGTAGACTCAAAATCTTATAACACTCTATGTACTTCATCTCATTTAACAAGTTGACATTCCCAGAAGTCACTGGAAAAGTAAACGTGCGCTTCTCTCTTGGAGGAAATGCCATATGGACGCTGATAGCTTGGATAGTGTGTTCATTTTTTCCCGTTGCCTTCTACCAGAGACCATATAATAGCTATTATATGGTCTCTGCTTCTACATATAATCACTATTTGGGATGGTTTGTTTTTTATCTGCATTTTCTATCAGATAACGACGTAATTGTTTCGACATACACTACAACAGCTATGTAAAGTGCTGCCCCTTAAGAGAAGCTTCTAAAAAGAGAGTCTCCATTTCATCTTGCTTATTGTAATGCAATATGAGAATGTTGTTTTCTTTCTATTTCTAATTAACAGGTGGTTGATCTAATTGACAGGTGGGTTAATAATGGAAACTAAACCAACAGTGAAGAGGCCTGTGTCAGATCTAGGCGACAGTGACCTAGATGCAGACTCCGCACCTAAGAAAAAAACAAAAGTAAATGTCAATAACAATTCCTTGGATTGGAGAAATTTTAGTTTAGTCACTGAAGGTGCCAGTGATGATGATTCTGGGATAATAACTGAATCACCAAGTGGATTCATAACTGTCAGAACTACAGACACTGTTGAAAATGGAGAAATGCCAAACAGGAATCAAGATGATATGGCAGTTATTGACAAGATTGCATCACTTCAACAAGATGCTGAGGTCATTGCGTCCTTGGTGCCCAATGTTGATGTTTCAGAAATTTATGACAGACTTTACTCATTTAGAACAAATCCAAACCGAATGGACATTGTGACAACAGAATTACTTGATAATCCCCCAGGTGAAGACTTTGAGACAGATGAAGGTCCTGGAAACAAAGGAGAAACTTCTTCAAAATCAACTCTGTATGAGGATGTCAAATCTGTGGTTCACAAAGTCAAACTAGCTGCTGCGTCTGTGAAATTAAATCCTGCTGAAATTTTTGCTCTCTTGGAGAGGCATGCTTATGCTCCTGACCGAACAGATATTGTTGCTAATCTGTTTCTCCAGGATGTGAAGGTTACCAATGGAGCTTCTAATGAAGTGGATCTGTTTGATGAGGTGCAGAAGGTGATCTCAAAGGTCCCAGCAGCGAATCCTGATCAGGTTTACGCTTTGCTGGAGTCTTTTTGTAGCCGTGGTGACAGAGTTAAAAAAGTGATAGACCAGTTGACAAAAGTTGTTGACCAGCCCATAGTAATTGATGATGATTCTTTACCCAGTGAACCACAGTCGATATACAATGACCATGTGTGCCTGGACATGAAAAAGGTAGCTAAAACATTTCCTGAAACGGACAGGAGTCAAATCGAAACAGGTGTAGAAACTTGGTGTGATAAGAAGGACGGGGTGTTGCGGTTCACAGAGAAGAGTGTTTGCTCATCAAAAGGTGAAATCAGCACACCTCTGTCAGTTTCCAGTGATGGAGAGGAAGTGACTATAGGGAAACCAGTTTTCCCAGGTGCCTGCAGCCTACAACAGGAGGTTGACCAACTGCGGAAATATTCCCAGATTGTGATCCCAATTATCTCTTTGAACAACTGGAAGAAAAGGCAAATGATGCAGAGAGAGTGAAAAGCCTGGCAGCACAAATGTTTGATAAAAGGGACTATCCGAAAATGAAAGATGTGTTGGAAAAGAATAGAAAACTTGCTAAACAAGTAGAAATTAAAAATCTAAAGTTTGACATGCAAAACTTCTTATCCAAATTTCCAGATCCAGTGGAATTTTTCTCAAAAACGGACACAGTTATGAGTGACAGTTACAAAGAGCACTGCTTTGTGTATGTTAGAAATGAGTTTAACTGTTTTACTTTGGCTCATGTGAATAAGGTACTGGAGAAATACAATCACCATCTGGCTCCAGCTGTTAGAGAACTGAAAGAACTGAAAGGCAAGTGCCCAATCTTCATTTATACCAATTATGTTCATACACTCCTTCGGGGGTGGTGGGGTAGCCTAGTGGTTAAAGCGTTCGCTCATCACGCCGAGGACCCGGGTTCGATTCTCCACATGGGTACAATGTGTGAAGCCCATTTCTGGTGTCCCCTGCCGTGATATTGCTGGAATATTGCAAAAAGTGGCGTAAAACCCAACTCACTCACTCATGCACTCCTCAACACCTATAATTTTACAATCTGTTTAAGTCAAATTCTTCTTGAGCAATTAGATACTGTGATACTCTTGAAATGATTGATCATGTTTATTGATGTTAGCAACATGATTATTTTTCTATTCTTTTTATGATGAAAGCCATTTTACCATTAATGAAACCATAACCTCATCAAGCTCAGCTGTAATGATGAATTGTATTGTCCTTAACATTTCATTGATATTACTTTTTACTCACTCAGAAGATCTTGTTAAAACCAAGAAACGGCGCCGAAAACTCCACAGAAAACATTCACCATTTCCAGATGAACCAGATGAGAGATTTTATCATGAACTTCTCTTCTCACAAAATGAACAAAAAATCAAAGGTAAAAACATTATAGTAATCTTTGCAGTACATGAAAGAAACTATGCCACTTTTAAAATATTTCACAACCGGAGCTGGGGAACAGGTGGAAAAGTTTCACTTACCTGCTGCTATTTATTGGTGGCAGATTCAGTATGAGGTGCACTGACTTTTAACGTTATGTTCAAGATTTTTGCACTCGTATAGCAATGGGCATGTGACAGCCTGCCTGGCTGCCTGCTGGTACAAGTCTGAACTGTAGCTGCCCACTGACATACCATTCTGCAGTTTTAATATCGACATTCAATATTTAACTACGTTCTGCTCTCTGGGCCTAGCCAGTAGACTACAAGGTGGTCTGTTGATTTAAATGTCAGATCTACAATTATTATGATCCTTGGTTTGTCAGCAATAAGTTTCAGTTTCAGAGGTGAAGAACTTTGAGTGTAGAACTCTTTTCTAAGACATTATGTTAATGCCATTATGTAACTAAAATATAAGGTATTCACAGACTGGTGAGCATTCTTCACTCGCACTGACCAAATGTGTAAGGCGACCTGAAAGACATTCCTCCACATTCATAAATAACTAACAGCTATGTTTACAAATGAAGGCTAACTGTCAAGAAACTGAATACTGCATTATTGCCTTTCAGATCATTTTCTGAACATAGAGCTGGAAAGGAAAAGGAAACTTCAAGCTGCAAGAAGAAATGGTGAACTGTATGAATGTGGATGTTGTTTTGATGATGAACTTCTATTTGAGGACTTGTCAGCCTGTGCAGATGGCCATCTTTTCTGCCGAGAATGTATCCGCCGATCTACAGAGTCTGCACTTGGTGAAGCAAAGACTAAGTTTCCCTGCTTGACAGGGGAATGTGAATATGATATTCCACTGACTGTCTTGCAGGAAGTCCTTACATCAGCAATGTTCTCCAGAATGTTGTCTCGGTTACAAGAAGAAGAGATTCGATTGGCTGAAATTCCTGATCTGGTCTCGTGCCCATTCTGTAATTTTGCCACCATTATGTCTGATCCCAGTGATAAAGTATTCAAGTGCCTCAACTCAGAATGCCTCAAGGAGACATGTCGGTCAGTATTTTCATGTCTGATATGTATTTTAGTCTGAAATACCGACATCATTACATTTGTTAAGTCCCTAACATGTTATAAAGGAAATTTTTTTGAGTTGCATGTCTCTCTGTCTTATGTCAATACATGTTACAAATGATTTTTAGAAGGGCAACTAGAGGATACATATCTGCCCTCCTGCTCTCTCTCTCTAAATGTAGCATGTTGAATCTGGTCATATCAGCAAATGTCACTCTTTTTATACTTCTCTTTGGGGATTCCTGCTAAGACAGGTGAACATTTCCTCATGCTTGCCATAAGAGAAAACAGAATTGTTGGTCATTATAAACCAGGGATATGTTTGTGTATGGTGAGTAGCTCAAACTTTAATTTATGGTTTTACTAGTCCTGACTCAATTATATACAAGCTGATCTGATAACGCAGGTATATAGCTCTCACTCACTAATCTCAGTTCAAATCAGTATATGAATTTCAATAGGACTGCCTCAGCAGCCATAGTGTATGAGCTAGGTTTAGCCATTTAAGATGTTTAGGACATATCCAGATGAGCTGGCTCTATTTTTGTGCTCTATTCAGTCTTGTCATACTTTTGGGATGGGTTTTGCATCTCATCCATTGGTGTTGTTGACACAAATAATTATTTTGTATTTGTGAGGTAACTTTTTCATAAATTTTCCAGTTTTACTTTGCTGTAAAATCTCAATGTATTCATCCCATTCATAGTGAGTGAGTGAGTGCAGTTTTATGTTCACACTCAGCAATATTCCAGCTATATGGCGGCGGTCTGTAAATAATCTAGTCTGGACCAGACAGTCCAGTGATCAACAGCATGAGCATCGATCTGCGCGATTGGGTACCGATGACATGTGTCAACCAAGTCTGAGCCTGACCACCCGATCCCGTTAGTCGCCTCTTAGTCTTACGACAAGCATCTTACGACAAGCAATGGTTACTGAAGATCAATATCCTAACCTTCATCCCATTCATAAGGAGATTTTAGATGTATTTTAGTCTGAAATACCGACATTATTTGATTTATCTACCACCTGCCTCAGCTCAGTAAATGATAATCAGAATTATTTTCCAGGCTATGCAAGGAACCCAATCATGTGCCATTGAAGTGCGAGGAGGTGGAGAAACAAGGGGAGACAAGCATGAGAACCTACATCGAGAACCGCATCTCAGAGGCCATGTTGAGAACCTGCCATCGGTGTAAGAAGAGATTCTTCAAGGAGACTGGTTGCAACAAGATGACATGTTCCTGTGGTGCCACCAGTTGCTATGTCTGCCGAAAACCAAACATTGACTACAATCATTTCCAAGGTGGTAGGTAAGCAGCAATAAGCAAGCAAGTATATATTGGACCAGTGTACACCTAACCTCATCAATTGTGTTTGTTGATATTGTGTGGATATAATAATGTTTCTTTTTTTCTGACTAATATTGTTTGTCTCTCCCGTTGACTAGATTCTTTTCATATTTAGTACCTAGGTTCACCACAGTATGTGAAAGGTCCCAGTCAGGTTTGGTGACCTTGACCTTCATTTCAAGGTCACAAGGGGACTTTAACGTTTTACCCTTGTCAGCGAGATATCTCAAGAACCGTTCACAAGATTTTTTTCATATTTCACACTAAGCTTCATCTAGTGCCCAGTCGATTTTGGTAACTTTCACGTAATTTTCATGTCAGAGTGACACTTTGAATATTTCAGCATGTTAACCAACATGTTAAGGTTGTCAGTAAGATACCTCAAAAACCATTCACTGGATTTTCTTCATATTTAACATCAAGCTTCATCTAGGGACGATGCAGGGCCCAGTCGATTTTGGTGACCTTCACTTAATGTTCAAGGTCACAGCGACACTTTGAATATTTCAGCATGTTAACCTGCATGTTAAGCTTGTCAGCGAGAAACCTCAAAAACCATTGACTGAATTTTCTTCATTTTTGACACCAAGCTTCATCTAGGGACGATGCAGGCCCCAGTCGATTTTGGTGACCTTTTTTTATGTAATTTTCAATGTCACAGCGACACTTTGAAGATTTCAGCATGTTAACCGTCATGTTAAGTTTGTCAGCAAGATATCTCAAGAACGGTTCCCTGGATTTTCTTTATAGACTTTCAAGACTTTTCTTGAATGCTTTTTGATAAGCAATTTCTTTATTACTATTTTTGCATATTTCATACACCATGACATTCATGTCAAGGTCAAAGTGAATATTGAAAATATTTGTGCGTTTGAACAACTACAGAGCAAGATATCAAGAGGGGTTGACTGGTCATGTTTTTGTTGACATTTATCTTATACTACGACCTTCACTTTCATTACTTTTTACGTTTAATTTGATAATTTGTGGCGGGGGATTATGTCACCTTAGTGACAATGCTTGTTAATTTTTAAACTTATCCTATCTCACGATTTGCACTTCTCTCTTGCTTCGACGCTGAGTGGAACAAATGTGAACTTTCTCAGCCCCTTGACGAAGTCATTTCTACCCTTTTGTGGCAAGCGTCCTAGTTCACCTTTTCTTTATTGAAGACAGGGTGCTGGCTCACTTAGATACGGCTGTATGACATACACTACCTTTCATCAATTGCGCTATTTCGGCACGCCTATTTGACCATGCCTACACGGACCAGAACACGCACATTAGGGGATGCATGGCACTTGTCTTGGACCAATTTCAGGTCATTTTAGACCAGATGTCCCATTTCCTTGGCTCTATCCTTGCGGTGAGTAGACAAGGTCCCTTTAACATCTCCTCTTGGGATGAATGTTTTTCGGCAGCCTTGGTCTTCGTATTAGCTTTTCGGTGGTATTATTGGGGATGTTTCAACCAAGGTTCATCGTGAGAACCATTTTCAGGTTTCTGTAGAATTGCTGCAAATGTAAAAATCTCAACTGCAAAGCTCTTTAACATAGCACAGAACACCTCGGTTCTCTCCACCAGCCCAGGTTTGAAGGATTGTTTTCGGGACACACCCTCCGCCCAACCTCGGAACAGGGCTGGAAGACCTTCCCATGGTGGTGCCTCTCGTAAGTGCAGAAAAAGCAAACTCCAGCAAACTTTGTCTCATATTCAATATGAAACAGTTCAAGGCCCAGTTTCTGTTACCGCCACCCCGCTTCCGGGTGGTGTCGGTCAACCTTTTACACAGAGAAATAAACTCTGATAGAAAGTGGACTATCTCATTTCTCTCAACCTGCAAGACGCCTATCTTCACATACCAATACATCCGGACCATTGGAAGTATCTCCGGTTCACTTTTGTGGGGCGTCATTACCAATGGACGGTACTACCATTTGGAATATCTACGGCCCCGTGGCTTTTCACTCAGGTAACCAAACCGATAAGAAGCTACCTGCATTGTTGAGGCGTAACATTCGAAAGCTTATATCAACGACTGTGTTCAAGCCCAGCAGGATCCAGTCGTCCTTCATCTCCACAGGCACTTCACCACTGACCTGGAGATTACAGCTCATGGGGGCGGTATTCAACACATAACAAGCCATGATCTTTGTACCTCGGGACAGATGGGACAAGATTCGGTGCACCCCATTAGCCCCACCAGAACTCTTCGCCAGTGGCAGGAGTTACTAGGGTTGATGACGGCGGCACAAGCACTGACTTACAGGGGCCAGCTGCAGCTTCGCCCTCTTCAGATGTGTCTGTGCCCGTACATCCGGGACGACAACCCCAGGGAGGCTATTCATCATCCCGCACAACTACATCCAGTCTTTTGTTGGTGGCTCGGACGAGCTGAATGTTTGCAGCGGAGTCCCTATGGTGCCCTTTACACTGACTCAACACCTTTTCGGCAACGCATCTCTCAAGGGCTGGGGCGCTCACTTTCTCCATCATCATGTGGCTGGGCAGTGGTCATCAGGAGAAAGGGCCCTTCATATCAACGAATTGGAGTTCAGTACTGTCATTCTTGCCATTCGGCATTGGGCAGTAGAACTACAGTCCTCCCATCTACTGATTCAATCAGACAATTCAACGTTAGTATGGTACATAAACCGTCAGGGCTCGACATGATTGGCAGCTCTGCTCCAGTGGACATTTAGATTTTATGACCTAATCGATTCACTCAACATAGTGGCCAGAGCCTGACACATTCCCAGGGCGAGGAATGTAATCGCCGATGCCCTGTCACACCCATCACTCATGGAGTGGAAACTGCTGCCTCTGATATTCTAATCGATGATCTACCCATTATCACGATCAGATGTAGACCTTTTCGCTACTTGATACAACTATCAGCTCCCACGATTGGTGTCCCCAATCCCGGACCTCAGGCGTGGTCCTGCTTCGTCGGCCTAAAAAGCTTAGCAGAACCGAGCCCAATACCACTACCCGCCCGAAACGACCTACTTTGTCATCCACACTTGGATGTGTATCAGGGGTCGTCACAGACTCTCAATCTGCACTGGCGCATTTACAGAAATCGTTGATAGCCAAAGGCTACTTGTGTAGAGTAGCTACAGCCATAACATCTGCGCATCAAACATCGATATGATTGTTGTATGACGACAAATGAAAGACATTTGAGCACTATTGCAAAGTTTTGAAAATTATTTCTCCCACCACCGCCTCTCCTCAGGTTGTTGCTGAAATTTTACAGCATTTGTGGGCTTGTAAGAAGCTTAAAGGTACCATGTTGTCAACCTGTCGGTTGTCCTCCATCACTTCGTATCCAGTGATTATGAGCCTCTACAAGACAAGAATTTTGAACTAATAACGTTTAAAACTTCCTTCCCAGTAGCGTTGGCTACTGCGGCTTGCATTTCGGAGCTACACGCACTTGATGTTAATCGTGTGAATTTCGAACGATTCCAGGCGATGTTGAAGATTTGTCTCGCTGCCCTGTCAGAGCTCTACGTATATTCCTTGCTGCCTCCCAGGAATGCTGCCGACTTTGTAAGAGGTTATTCAGTCCACTTTCCACTGCGGCGAAAGCGGAGATCTCCATACTGAGGGCCTATGCCTTTGCTCGACCCCCACCCCCGACCACATCCAATCCACATGAGACCGGGCGTTAGCCTCAACGATGGCCTTACATAACTCCCTGACAGCAATCATGGAGGGTTGTTTTTGGCGTTCGGACACAGTCTTCTCGTCATATTATTTGAGGGATGTATCGGTTACAAATGTGCAAGGTCTACACCAGTTCGGACCCCTTGTCCTAGCCCAGCAGCTGTCGTCAGCCCATCAACGCAGTTGAATACAGTTGCGCGTTTGTTCAGTCGGTCTCGTGTACATCCTGAATAAAATTCTGAAATTTATTTCTGATTTTTGTTCTCAGTTCTTCTGGGATTAGAACTCTTCACTCAATTTTATTGAGATATTGCAATTTCTCTTTACGGATCTACAGATCGTTAGTTTCTCATATTTTACAATGTTAAATTGTTGCACAATCTCACTTGCTGACCTCTACTCCACGAAGCAATCACATCAGTGAAGTGAGTCCTTCCTGATTTCCTTTGGATTTCATTGCGTTCTAGCTCCTAAGTACCATAGCACACCATTGTGACCTAACTGTGGTAAGTAGTGCAAGTCATGTGGTGTTGTTTTGGTACTGAACATTAAACTATTAAGCTTTCTGATTCAGTTTCCTTTTCCTTGCCTGATTACTAGTCGTAAGACTTTAATTATGGGGGTACTTGGCTAGTTGCGTCCCCTTGCTTATGCGAGGGTTGCGGCCAAACACCACATCGCTTGGGAGCACCCACTCCTTGGGAGCATTTGTGCCTAGTAAGCCAAGGGGTTCAGGAGAACGCATCGCTAGCATAAGTACTGTGGTAGTTGTATTTGGCCTCCCTTGTTCATCACTATCTATGGTTGTCATTAGCTTATACAGTGTATGCTGTCAATGCTCTTTGACGTAGGGTAATCTGTGACCCGCCGTCCAACTGCGGGATAAGTCTAAATCATGAGATAGGATGAGTTTAAAAATTTGGAAATTTTAAGTATAAGTTGTATAATTTTTCCTTATCCTGACTCATGCTCTTTTGCTTGTCTTCTTCTTCTTGCGAACACAGTGGAACACTTGTATCTCCCAATTGAAGCTCCCTTCAATGTAAAATCACTAATTAGTACTCACCAAGAGTTGTCTCCTTCCCAGCCATTTGCGCGGGAACGAGGGCGCCACCTTCCGCCACATGCCTCACTCTCTCCTTCTTCGCCCAGTGAGCGGATGTGTCTCCCTACACATTATTTCCTTTGTTTATTCTTAGTTATTTACATCTCATAGGCTTCTATAGAGGTGTATCTAGTATCCTTCAACATAATGCATTGATATTTATTCGTGTTTCTACTGTTTTATT